AAGATTACGGCCACTGCAGACAAGAGAGAAAGGGGCCGTGGCTCCTGGGCCTCTCACCACAGAGCGGTGACTGCTCTGAGAGCTGCTTAATGCACTTCACAGGGAGGGGACAGCCCAACCGAAGGGAATCACTTTAATTAGAATATAATCTATTGTAAAGGAATATTTAGAAAGACTTTTTTTTTTTTTTTTGGTACCGGGGATCGAATTCGGGTCCTTGCTCCTGCGCAGCAGTCGGCAAAACCACTGACCTAAATCCCGCGCTAGAAACATTCTTAAAAGGAACTCTGAAGTATCATCTGCGACCAATGATTTTGTTCATTAAGCCATTTGTTTATTGCTTTGGAAGATTATAAATAGAACTATAAATAGTAGGTTCAAAATTCCCCATTTTGTATATTTTATAGGATAATGTAAGATAATGTGAAATACTACATTGCATATAGTCATTTTTATTATAATGAGTGTAGAGGGGCATTCATATGACTAAATTTCTTTCCAGATAACTCCCACAATTGAAGACCCCAGCATTTTTGGACACATAGAAGAAGTGCTGAAAAAGGCATCATGATTTTTGCTTCTATAATGAATTGGTTTGTGTTAATTCTGTAGTTCGAATTAAGTTATTTGAGTTACTTCCCAGAAATAAAAATTCACAGAAAAATGACTTGCCAATTGAAATGTGAAATGTAAAACTTCTAGGAAACCAGTCTCATGAAAACTAGTGAAAGAACCTGTCTGATTTGCCTCAATTGTATGGTTTTTCAGTTGCCTGTAACATGGCTCACCATATGTTGTTCAGTGCTATAAGAAAAATGTATCAATTTTATGCTTAAAACATTATTCCCCCTAAAAATCCACTGTAATTAAATGTGGCTCTTATAAACATTTCCTGACAAAATTTAAAACACAATTCAATGTCAAAAAATAATTAAAATTTTGAATATTCTTAAGATTCTTTAGATGCCTACTCTTTCTAAGTGAAATAGATAAAATGGGGAATTTTAGGCAATTATCTAGACAGATGAAGGTATTGTCTAGGTAGGGAGATCTGTGTGGCCATATTTCCTGAGGGAAAGCAGGAAGCCAGGGTTAAAGCTCTTCCTGGTGGTCCCTCTGTTACTTAGACAAGGGAAATCACATGCCTGGCAGAGAATCTAAAGATGACTCAACCCAATCTTTGCATCTTGGGAGATGAAGGCTCCCAAGAGCCCCTACTCATGTCTCAGGTTCTTAATTTACTTCTTAATGATCCTGTCTTTGTTAAGGAGTCAAAGAAATAACACAAATGAAGTAGGGTGGCAAGGAAAGCTCTGAAGAATGAAAGGTAAAGGCTTTAACATTAGGATGCAGATGAAGGGACTTTCCAGATAGGTTAGTGTAATGTCAGTGAGGTTTTCAGTGAGCCTGAGCCACTTAGCCTGTATTTCAGGTCAATAGGGAATGGTAAAGCCTGGAGAGCGCCTGCTCCATCAAAGGAGAGCCCTGCCTGCTTCTGGAAGAATGTGTAACAGGAGGGAGGGAGACAGATGTCCTGCTGCAAGAGCCTCAGGTTTCCAAGAGAAGCCAAAAACCCATAGTTATTTTTGTGGAAGCTATAATTTTATATAACTGATGACACATGTAAAAATTACGTCCAAACATATCTTTACAATTAAACTTCTATAAAATTAGGAAGACTTTTTAATAGAAATTTAAAACTAGTCTTTAATGAGCTTATGGTAATGTACTGAATAACTAGAGTAGATATAAGTAGATAATGAACAGTTATCAAAGAATGCATTTAAGCACAAAACCTGTACCATGCCCGTTGAATCTTGGAAAATTCTCCAAGTATTTCTCAATCGTTTAGTTATTTGGGAACATTATTTTCAAGAACACATTGTCCTAACATAATAGTTTGGGTAAAGGAAATATCTGTGAGTGATAATAGATGTGAATTTACTTGTTTGTGTCATAAAAATAGTTTAAAGACTGTATAAAACATTCTGAAAATATTAGCTCTTTTTGAACTGTAGGCTACAAAATAAATGGTTTATCCAAATAAATTCTTATTTGCTTAACTTGCCTTCTTGATTGTTATGCCTGAATAAATATATGCATCTTTAATTATTTTAGTACTCTGAATTAATCCAACTAGATAGAGGCTATATAATTTGAAACTGCTGGGTTTCTTGAAATATCTTTTTTATTGGGTACAATTTTATCTATTATCAGAACTGTAGTACTTAAAAATAAACTATTTTAATGTCTTAGCATTAAAAAGTATTTTCTTATTTTTTTCTACATGAAAAAATCATTTAATCTGAAATGGCACATTCTTTAACTGAATGTGTCTTCTTATTTATTTGTAAGTTATGAGCTCAGGCAGATTCAACAATTGTGTAAAAGTTGCATCTCTTGTCCACTTTCACATTTTTCCTGGTAATCTCATCCAAAGGGACACTTCAACAAGCAGGCTTGGGTTATTTTTCAGTTGAGTGGGACTGGAAAACACCGCATGAGAATGGGGAAGTAACTATTTCTTATGTCTCATTGAGGAAATTTATCTCCTTTAGAAGGTCAGAGAAAGTACTGTTACTCTCACATGACTAAAACAGGGTCAATAAAGGTACACTTAAATCGTCAGACTGCTTATGATTTGGGAAAAAGAAAGAAAATTTTCTATTGTAATACTCACCATAAATCACTTTCATTAAATAGTATCTAAAATATTTTAAATTACATGTATCTTTTATTACAACAATATAATGTTACTGAAGCATGTAGTCATGCTGTTTGCCAAAATACATTCTGTGTGACTGCTTTTGTTTTTTTCATGGAATTTTTTATTGTAAGACGTTAGGAAAATGAAAATAAAAAGTACTTTCAAAGATCTCTAGAATAGTGTTTTCCAAATATTCATCTTTGTTTTGAATATATTAAATATATGCAAATTAAATGTACCTTACATTTTAAGAAGTAGTTTTAGTTATCTAAAATTATTTGAAGAGTCTAGATCTGATCACTAAAAATGTCACAATTCATAACTGTGATGGTCAAGAGGAAAAATACTGAGATTCTAAGCTCAGCACATGAAATAGATTTTGGAGCCTGGCAGAAGTTTTCTTATAAAGCATATTTTTGCTTTTCTGAGGGAGGTAGCTGGATCTTTTGTATCACTGTATGTTACAATCTATTACAAATGATTAATCTTGCTTACTTGATCACTGAGAAGCAGAGACTGACTTTAGTAACTGACTGCTTTCTACAGTTTGTATATTTCCTGTTTCCTAGGCCCATAGGTTAAAGGCTTGGTTTCCAGGTACTGATCCTGGAAGGTGCTGTGGGACTATAGGAGGAGGAGCTCTAAGGGAGGTCATAAGATCCCTGGGGAAGAAGCCCTCAAAGAGAATGGTGGGGCAGAAGCCCTTTTCTTTCACTGGGTTCCCAGCCATGAGGCACATAGTTTGCCTCCTGAACGCTCTTCATCATTGCCATCCCGCATGCTCACCAGAGGCTCAAAACAATTGGTCTGCTTGACCTTTGACTGGAAACTCCAAAACTGTGTCAGTCAAAACAATCCTTTTGTCTTTATAAGCTAATTGTCACAGATATTTCTGTGATAGAAAGCTAACTCAGTGGTATAAGAATAAAGACAGATCTACTTGTGGCATTTTAATATCATAGTTTCTGTATCATTTTATTTCTATGAATCAAAATTTCCATTTTCAGGTGAGGTTAAAAGCCCTTTCCCATTGTTTCTGCTCAAGCAACATTGAAGAAAAATTTAAAACCACTTCCATAATCTAGTTTAGTACTCCCTCTTGTGGCAAACTACATTTTGAGGTGAAATATTAGATTCTGAGTCATTGAAAGAATGGTTTTCATCATAGTTCACTAGACAAATGTTGTATCACTAGAAAGCAAGCTTAAACAGAGAACTGGAAGTATTTTTTTATTGACAATGGAGAGGGTTTCTGTTACCATTACCTTTTGACTGAATCTGTTTAATAAAAATAGACATCAAAACAAATGTAGTGTACGTGCAAACATAGCAAATTAAAATACAAAAAAGAAATTAACTAATGACAGGTTTTGCGCTTCATAAGACCAAGCAGCAGAAAATAAGCAGTTAGATAAATGGTATTATTAAATAGGTTTTACTTTGAAATCTCCCATATAAACAAAGAATAAACAACAGTAACACCAAGAAATAAAGCCACAGGGAAGATGTTACTCTTCTATACTTTTTATACACTATATATGTAATCACTCTGTCTTTCATTTATTTCCTCTGATAAAACTGACTTCAGGGAAGATCCACAAGGCCATCTCGGCTGAAAGCTTATAACATTAAACATGAATCTGGCTAATGCCTTGTTACATCGAAAAAAAGGAAGAGATTTCTGGGGTTGTGATTTTTTTCAGTGAAAATGAGCCTCAGACTCCGCAGTGGTTGACCTTCACTGTCCAGTGCTGGCTGGTGGTTCAAGGTATTTGAATGAACATGTGGTTCTTAGTAAAGAAGTTTTCTTTTTATCTTGGTCCACAGATAACAAGAGAAGATAATGGATTTTTAATATAAATTTTTTAAATAATTGCTTATGACTCTTGTAAACAGTTTGGCTTTGTTTAGTATCGAAAAGGAGATTGAGCCATCACAGTGCTATTTCTAAAGTTATAGGACATCCCTGATTGCCTTTAAAGGTCATTTTTTGGCTCCAGTTCCAGGTTAAATCATTTTTTTTTAATGATCAGAGGCAGGTGTTCAGCTTTAAATATAGACAGACTTGAAGGAGGAAGATGTTGAAGCATGAAACATGCTTCAAGGAAACATTGATTTGACTGTTACAATTCAAAAACTGTAAAAATGATGGAATGGCAAAATACAAACAGTACTTGGAATTGTCAAATGTTTGCACTCAAGACTCCATGAACCATATATTTTATTTTTTAAAAAATCATATTTATATCCATTTACATAAGACTTACACATTTAAAAAGAAATACACAGTAATACATAAATGTCTAGTATATTACAACATGAAAAAACAAGTGGCTCCATTTCATAAAAGCATCTGTTGTACAGAATTTATGATGTGGATGATGCTTATTATTCAAATGACTTAAGCATTTTATTACAATTTAGTAAACTAATCAAGCTTAATATCTGATCCCCCCCAAAAAAAAATCACATTTTCAGCTTTTAAACCATTACTTGTTATTATTTCCTTTGAATTCGGTCTTCACAAAGGTTTTCATTGCTTGTCTTCTTAGATGGTAGTGCACTTTAGGTAGAGTAGACTGAAAAGATGACATCTAAAATATGTAACGGACAGCATTAGTTCACCAAAAGGTCCCTGCCTAGTAAATCCTATTCCTTTACTTTGTTCTGCATTTCCATGAAGCCTGCCTACTGCTGTTCTAAAATATAAGGGAAAGAAAATCAGCTAGGATCTAACCAATAGCAGAAATAAGTGACATTTGCCCTCCTCCATTTCTGTGCTAAATACATAATAGGATTTGCTTGACTTTGGGTAAAGTAAGGCAATAATATAAACAAAAGTAGTCACATGAAATGTCAGCATGCCTCCGGAAAATTTTACAGCTTACTAATTAATAAATTGGGTTGAGTTGTCCTATGTGATGAAATAGATTTATATTCTAGTTCATATATTTTACGGCTTTTAAAAAGACAGTTTTTTAACTGTGACAAACACATATTGATAATAGATAACATTTTAAAGATTCTGGGTTAGTGGTATGAGATCACAAAATCTTTCCAGTCATAATATACTTAGGAAAAGCTCAAAGTTATTGACACAAAAGAAAGAGTAAATATCATGTTCTGAATTATTCTTAATAACAGTAAGTGCTAATCTTTGGCCAAATAAGAACTAATTTTGTTAGATTTATTTTTTTGTAAATAAATACCACTGTGTAATAGTAAAAGCTGGGAAATATGAACTAGAATGTCATGCATAAGAAACAGACTGCAAGTAGTTAAAGAATATTTCTATCCATCAGTCAAGAGCTAAGAAGCAAGCACTACCAAACATATTAAATAGTCATTTGTAAATTAGTGAAGTATTCAGTTCCTGAGAAAATTACGTTATGTGTAGAATCTATTATAAACAGTATTTTGGAAAGCCTCTTATTTAGACAAATTATTATCTGCTTTAGATCATGCCTAATTAGATACCAAATTGTATATTGTAATTAAATTTTTAATGTTAGGGTTGTACTTTTGAAATTAAATCTTGAATCTTGATGCTTTTTGTTTTATCACCTTCAAATAGTGACCCAAATAAGGCAAAATATATCATTCATGTGAAGTCTATAGGACCAACAAAATATTATGTAACGCTTGTAGTTCCAGGCAAAGGGTAAAGACCACAAAGTGAGCTGTATCTTCATCTATTACTGCTGCTTCCTCCAGTCCCTGTGTACATGTTTGGTGCTCAATAATAGCTTAAAATATTTTTCATAGCATCAATTCATTGAAAATTCTACAATATTGTGGTAAAGCATAATTTTAGGTTCGAATAATTTTTGAACCTTTGACATTTATGAATCTAGGAAACCATAGATTTCCTTATAAGACATTTCAATAAAATGTCATATATATGGATTTAGAAGTAGCTTCCATCCGCTAATATTTCTTTAAATACAAATGCCTCATGTCTAGTAGTAATATGTTCTGCTGTTCCTATTCTCCATTATTATAAATTAATTTTATGTTTTTCATTCCTCAGATACTTAAAATTCATCCTTTTAAAGCAAATATTAAGTCCCATTGATAAGCAACAACAACATACTGAAAGTTCAAACTTTTCAGTTTCTACTTTTGCTGTTAATAGGAATCCACTTCTAAATCATTTTACTGTCTCTGTCATTTGATTCTGAATTTGCTTAAATCTTATAGGCCTACTTTGATTTCCTTACATAAGATAGTCACTTAAAATTATATGATTCTCTGAGTGCCAAACTCTTGTTAATAAAAATGCTGGGGGTCAATAAGAAATGCTATTCAAAAGTAGAAAACGACATGGTAACAACGCATTTATGTGTAATAATTGAGTAACAGGTCTCAAACAGACAGACCTTAAACCATAGGAGACAGGTGATGATAGGAAAGGACAGATGGAGTTAAAATATACAGGTTACTTTTCCCCCCTCTATCAGTTCAAAGGGGTTATCTCACCTCCGTACTGCTAGGCCATACCAAAAGGCATATGTATATTTACTAGTCTATGTAGTCCCGTTTTTTGTTGTTGTTGGCTTGTTGTTTGTCAGCCAAAGGGAAACTACTCACAGCAGGTCAGTGCTGCCTCCTTTGAGTGGCTTGTCAACATGAGTATGTGCGAACAGTGGAGTTGTCTAACCTCTGCAGTCTTGATGAAGCAACTGCAAATGGAGAAAAGGGCTTTGAAGTTCTTGGATGGTTGAGTAGAAGATTTCAGATGAGAAAGATTTATTTCCTCTGCATAAAGGATGCTGAATATATTAGTAGACCTTCTTTCTCTCAGATATGAGCCAATCATAGACTCCTCTTCTCTAGACACAGTTACAAAGGAAATGTTTTTCCCAATGTAATTCAGCTGAGCTTTAGAGTTCCGTATTTCCTCTTAGATGACATCTGTAACAAGAGAGCTCCCCCAGGGTGCTTCCACTTTCCTTGAAAAGATTGTTCTACAGAACTCAATATGGTGAATTGTTTTTCATCCAAGTATTGATGAACCTCTATGGTAATTTTAATCATGTTATATTCCTCATGAATTTTGCTAAGAAGTTATACAGCATTATCAGATACAAGAAATGTAGATCAAAGATGATAGTTTATATTGAAATTAATTTTAAGAATCATAATAACTATAACCTTGGAAAGAAATAATGATTCTAAGTGATTATCTTAATGAAAGTGAGTCTTTTCCCTTAATGTTTTTCAAACAAATAATTTTGTGCCTACTATTTCAAAATTGTCTCTCCAGAATAACTGTTTTCCTTTATGAAGTATTTTACACAAGTCTAATGTCCACAGAAGGAAATATTAATTAAGAAATTGCAGTTGCTTTGGTGTTTGTTTAGCTTTCTTCTTATGATTGTGCTTATTTATTTGAAGGCCTTTTGTTTTGATCAGAAATAAAGATGTCTGATGAGTCTGAATTTCGAAGACTATATATAAAATTTCCAATATTTAGATATGTAAAGGGCTGGTGTGGTTAATTTCCATGTATTATGAATCTTTAATACAAATCCAAACTCTACCTTAAATTATTTACTTTGTGAATGAAAGGAAAATAAAACACCAATCAAGCAGAGTCTATTATTCTTCCTAGATGTGGACATTAGCCAGAGTTGTTCTTTTTAGGATATTATACATTATTTTGAAAATGAGAATAAAATGCCATGAGTTCATGCATTAGCAATTTACAAAGAGTTTTGGTTTTTGATGAAAGCAAAGTAAAAATTCAAGCAGAGCAAACCAACTCAAGAAAGGATCACTTCCAGAGCTATGCAAACTCAGAGAATTATACTAGCTTTTGCTAAGCAAGCTTTTTGTTGTATAATCAAAAATGTAAAACTACTGTACCATCTGTTGTCATTTTCCTCGACTGCCCCGATGTTGTGGTTAACCTAAATCCAGCTGGTAATGTTTCTGAGGACCCAGGCATCATGCTGATCCCGTGGACTTCACGTGGAGGAAATTGCCTTCTCCAGGTTGATCCACGTCGGAAATTCTTGTCATCACTCTGGCAATATAGAGTTATAATTCAATGTAATAAAAACAAATAAACTAGTCCAGGTGCATAAAGTTGTGTGCTTTGAAACATGTAACAGATTATGTACATTCACTGTACCAGGCATACATATGGAACATTGTGCTTTATCTCAAGAGTTATATTGATTCCAAAATAAAAAGGTGGGAGAATTGAAACAGAAATGTTTCATACAACTTTTTACATGATTTCCTATCTAAAATTTGGCATCTTTAAATGTCTTTGAAAACCTAAAATAAAATCCTAAAGTTTTTTCCAGAAAGAATATTGGTTATTCTTTTTTTTTTTTTTAATTTAATGCCAACTGGTTGGTTATATGGTATGAGATGTTAACTTTATTGAATTGGTTGTTTGGTGGACTGAATTTGACTCACACCCTTGAGAAATACCACTTTTGTATATGCAAGAGATATATGTTGTAGGAAATCTGTATTTGAGACAGCCTGACTAATTCAAGATACTATAATCTGTGTAAAATACGCTAAACTTGTGATTTGTTAGATTTGAAGTGATATAGAATTAACTTGTAATTTCTTGAAAAGCCTTTGCAAGCTGGACACTATTCTTTGAATCAATACATGTGTTCATACAGTGCTCCTAAAACTATAATGTAACTCTGGCTAATTGTGTAATCCTAGTTACTGGTTCTGTTATATCTTAATGAAATAATCTCTTCCCTTTCTGTATACATAAAGTACCTATACACATACAATTATTTTCCCTTGAATTGATAAGCATTAATGTATAATTTGGCATTTACCTAATATTATTCTTTTTGTCTAATTCTAAGAAAACTATTAAACTTTCCACATAGATCTTGTCTTCTAAGATCACCATCTTTCTTATTTAGGGAAAGACTATATTCCCCAAGATTTACATCCAAACGTATTATATACTCTGCTAACTCATTTGATTTCATTTTGGAATATAGAATAATCAGCTAATATTTGACTCAAATTATTATTTTCATAAATTAATAACAGTATGTTATTTATATATTACCAATTTAATTAAATGACATTTATAGTTTACCTAAGAAAATCATTTATGTATTATTACATATATACACTATTAAAAATTTTAAATCAGGATCTAAATTTTGTTTAGACTTGGTAGCCATTTTATAGATAAAAGATGTTCTTTAGTCCTCCTCTCACTTGCTGTGTTCTACATTACCCTGGAGTTGCAAAATATTTGTAAATAAGAAAAGAAACAGATTTTCATAGCTGTGACTTCTTGATTATTGGAGAATTTATTGCATTAAGCATAAATATTTCTCAATTTTACAAAACCCTTCATTACATTGTAGAGATAAATAACTTCTATAGTGTTAGGGCTTAAAAATAAACATGTTGAGAGTTTGAATGATGACTCCATTCATTTGCTGTATCAGCAGACAGTATTGTTACTACAGAAAGGAGACCATGGGGAAGAACATCATGGGGGGAAGTTCTCATGACAGAAGGTTAAGAGATATTCTGTTAATCGAAGTTCATAGAAGCACAACAAAACTTCTCAGACTGTATCAGTAAAATTGAATGTGATCTGCAAAGCTAGAGGGGAAAAAATTTATTCTGGTTTTAGGCAATTTATTAGGCTATTTTTGCTCATATTCAAAAAAATTGGACAAAAAGGACTACAGGCGTTTTTTTTGGGGGGGGGGTACCAGAGATCGAACCTGGGTCCTTGCGCTTGCAAGGCAGGCAGCGATACCACTGAGCTAAATCCCTGGCCCCTAGAGAATACTACAAGGTTTTAACAATAAAATCATGTATTGCACTTTTAAAAACAAAAAAGGAGGGCCAGGGATTTAGGCTCAGTGGTGCGGCCACCTGCCTCGGAAGCGCAAGGTCCTGAGTTCAATGATCCCCCGTACCAAAAAAAAAAAAAAGGAGATAGAGTATTTAAAGGCAGATAGTCACATTCTATTTAGTAAACCTGTCTGCTCATTTCTTACTATCAGGGATGCAACGTGGGCTGTAGGTGACCAACTCTGCCTGGATAGTTGCCTAAGCTCACCCCACACTTTAAGATATACTCATATGATGGATCTTTAAGAATTTTTTATTCAAATTTATTAAGATTCCTTTGCAATTTATAAGAATAAATTATAAGAATTGTATCCTAAATTGTATTTGTTTTTGATACTAACATTAAAATCGACAATTTAGAATAAATAAAGAGATTGTCAAACAACTTACAAAGGTAAAATTGGTTAAGTATTGATTTGGTTTAAAAAATATCAATCACTATACTGATTGGAAAATTGTGTGAATTTACCAGACGTTAACAGGGGATAGGAATGGAAAACTTATCTTTCTATAATGTAGTTCACAAAAGACAGTGTGGGTTTTATACCAGTATCATCTGCTCTGCCCATTTGAACATGGAAATATTTTCCATTTTAGGATTTGAATTCATTAAAACAATTATTTTAAACAGCATGTCTTTATAGTCAAGGAACACATGTACCTTGAAACTCATAGTCCTGCCTCTCTGTATTTTCCACTTCATCCTAAATGTTCCTGCAAAAACTCTCAGAAGGACTGTTTGCTCATATCTCGTATTCACTTAATAGATTTTTCACTTAATTATTTTTCAAACCATTTAAATATGCCTATATTATATATAGAAATACTTATGCTTAAAATAGCTTTCACATTCTGTGACTGTTAAAATGTTACCCATTTATTTTTAGAGAAAAATCATAATGATATTTAAAATAATGAAAACTTCCCATTTATATAAGTGAATATTTTGTTCACTTTAACATTCTAAAATTTTCTGAAAAGTCATAGTGATATTTAAGAAATAAGGTAACAAGTTTAAGAAATAAGTTTAAAAGCTGTTGATCAACATTAGTGTTTTGTTTATATTTTTTAAATGTTGTTGCTTAAAATTTTAGTTATTGCTCATGAAAAAAGTCTGTTTTGAATAACTTTTCAGTTATTCAATATGGAAATGGCAGCATTTATGTATTCATAAAGTTTTTTCCAAAATTAAGGAATATATGAACCTGAACCTGGAGGGTTCCAGGTTTACCCATAGAACAAACATATTGTTAATTTTAAGCAGTATTCCTTAAAAGTAAGGATGTTCGGGCTGGGGATTTAGCTCAGTGGCTTCGCTGCCTGCTGCGCAAGCACAAGGACCCAAGTTCGATCCCCGGTACCAAAAAAAAAGTAAGGATGTTCCCTATATTCTCAAAGAGGCCTTTTGAATGTTAAGTTATGACTTACTTCATCCAGCCGCCGTTCTGTTCCCAGGGCCAACAGGTTATTGTATTCCCTTTCAAGTATCTGCCGGGCCTGTTGATACCATATTACAGTTACCATCACTAAAATCACCTTTTATTTAAAAATTCATACAGATTATATTTATCTGAAAATATATTGCAAACTAATTTTTAGTTATAGAATTTTAAAGTTTTTAGACAACATGTTTAAAGTAATTTAAATTTTAGCTTTAAGTATTATGTAAGGCAATTTCTTTGGTACAGCAGATAACTTCCCATAAACATTTAAGTCCAAGAAGCTTTAACTCCGTTTTCTTACTTTTTCCCAATTGATTTTTTATATAAGTTTTGAAATACTCAAAAAATAAAATGAAGTGTGAGGGTGGACTGTGAATTTTCATCAAAGTTTTGTAGGTGTTTCTCACACCTGGTCAATGATCATCATTCAGAGAAACTTTAGATATTAAGAATTCCTGGGCTCTATCTCTTAATATCTGAGTTTTTACAGCTATGACGTTGTTGGAGGTTTTATTTTTAATGTGTTTGGCATTCCATTAATTTACATAGCTCCAGATTTCGGGATTGCTGACATACCCAATGTTAAGACCGTGTATAGTTCAGACCTGTAACCACAAAGGACTGCCTTTCAGGGAGGCAGAGATGGAAGCCATCTGTCAGGGATGTTGTTTGTGGGAATCAGGCATTCGACTGGGAGACTGGGCCACAAAAAATCACCTCTAAATCCTTTCCTTTTTAATTTTATGATTTTGTTTTAGCTGGAAATGCAGTCCAGTAGCTCAAAATTAAAGCCCTAGTGAAACATTTCAAAGGTTGAGCTAACTTCTTTATTTTTATTAGTACATGTTTAGTACGTAATGTCTACATTCCCTGTGTGGAGTTGGTACATTTATGTAACATATTTTAATTCCCTTTTTCATCATCTTTCTCTCCTCTCTCTCTCCTTTCCTCCATCTTTTGATTCCCTTACCATTTTAGAAATATCTATCTTCCTACTTCCTATTATCTCTTACTTTCTCTTTATTTATATTTTGGATTTCTCATATAAGAGAAACCATGAGATATTAAGCTTGTGTCTGATTTATTTCACTTCATATTTTGATCTTAAGGTGCATTCATTTTCCTACAAATGACTCGAGCTTATCTTTCTGTATGCAGAGTAACACTCCATTGTGTGTATAAATACTATATTTTCTTTATCCATCCATCTGTTGGACATATAGGTTGCTTCCACACTTTAGCTATTATGAATTGTTGTGGTATAAAGATGGGTGTGCATGTATTACTATAACATTTTGTTTTTAACTCTTTTGGGGAGATTTCTAGAAGGGAAATACCTAGGTAAAATAAAATTTCTAGTTTTCATCTTTTGGGGAATCTCAATAATGATTTCCATAGTGGTTGTACTAATTTCATTTAGGTTTCATAAATATATGTGCAATACACAAGGCACAAATAGTAGACAAATATCACATGATTTCACACATATGTGAGCTCTAAAAAAATTTCATTTTATAGAAGTTGAGTGTCAAATGGTTACAGAAGCTGCAGAGAATACGAGGAGGGAAACACAGATGAAGGTTGATCAATCACTACTAAGTTACAGTTAATAAGAGCAAGAGTTTTTGTTGTGCTATTGTACAGTAGAGTCACTGAAGACTAATTCACTGTGCATTTGAAAGTTCTAGAAAATTATTTAGAAAGTTTCACCTAGAAAATGATATCTTTGAGGAAAATATGTTTAACCTGATTTAAACATATGCATAATGTATACATGTATGAAAACATCATGTTATGCAATTTACATGTTTTATATATCATTTAAAATAAATTTAATGTTTAAAAGTCATGAACACACAGCCACATTTTTTTCTAAAAGCTTAGTTTGTCATTGTATTAACCAAGATCCAGTAAGACTACAACACAAAGGGGCTTGCCTGGGTGTTCTGTGTTGGAATTTGTAGTAACAAAGCTAAGCTGCTGTAGTCAAAGTTCTCATCCAGGGCTATAAGTGAGCCATGCACACCACTTTCAAGAATATTATTTGCATATTCTCTAAGTCCAATTGCTTGTATCCAGCGAATAACTCGATCATTGCTCCACACCAACACATCTAGGAAAAGAGATACATCATTTTAGACTGGAGTACTTTGCGTAAACAAAATCCCTGGCTGAAATGAACCACAGATAACTAACTAAATCACATTTATGCTGATTTATCTATTTTCTAGTTGCCCTTGCTCTCCTCTGTTGTATGCATGTACTATTCTAATAACTTTTTCTACTCTAAGCCTAGAAAAAGTTGCCATTTTTAGAATGCTTATTATGTTTATGGCAGCACTATCAGGACCTGAGATACAATTTTTCCAATTTTCATACTACAGCCTGAGGGATTCATCTGAAATTCAATATGTCTACCACCGCGGTGGGGGGGGGGGCATTTCTTACTTGTGTCAACACACAGTAAACAAGGCAAACAGATTCTAATGCTGTTCTTCACCAGAAGTATTCATTAACCACTACTTAAATATTGCGTAGTGGTCCCACAGGCTCAAGGACCCGAGTTCGATCCCCGGTACCCCACCCCCCAAAAATACTGCGTAGTGACTAAGAGATCTAGTTTCACTTGAAGTAACATATAAAAGAAAACAGAACAGTAAAATAATACAGAGACACAATAGATGGATACCTAGTTTAGTATTGTTATATCATTATTTTCTGGTTCCATACATAGTGCAAAATTCAAGCACTCGATCAAGTCACAAGTTGATTTTACTATACTGATGTACAAAACTCATTTTACTTTCTAAAAATAAAACCTCCAGATTCCTCTTGTGTGCATTTTATAGACAAAAAGTTAGCAAAATATATTTTATGATTTATTTTCCTCCAGGTATTCCCATTATGAGTTGGCAGAATGTGGCATAAAGATTAGAAGGAACAAAATGCTCCATAGGAAAAAGATTTTAAGGAATAATAGGGAAAAAGAAATCAAAACATTTTTTTCCATTTGTAGAAAGAAAACTATTTACTTTATAGAAATGATTAGTTACACTGAAGTCACCAGTGTCTTCCCTAATTCAGTACAACAGGTGTCTTTCTTAAAAGGGACAATTTGGAAGCCAGGCACAGAGTCACATGTATGAGGTCCCTTGACTCCTTGGGAAGCTGAGGCAGGAGGATCACTGGAGCCCAGGGATTTGAGAGTTTCCCGAGGAAAACAGTGAGCCCTCACTTAAAAAAAAAAAAAAAAAAAGGTTTGGGATTTGCAAATAGACACACACACGGAAAATGTCATGTGAATATGAAGGCAGATGATGCTCCTGTAATCCAAAGAACACAGTTACCCACAAGCCAGCAGAAGCCACAGGATAGAAAGCATACAAGTCATTCCTCACAGTCCTCAGAAGAAACAAACATGAACTTCAAGCTTCTACATGGTGAGGTACTCAATTCTGATGGGTAAGTCATCAAGTTTGTTGGATTTCCTTACACCAGTCCAACAAACCTAATATATGTGACATCAAATTGTAGTTTTAATTAATAACTCACATTATGTTTATGGAAATATCTATTTTTAGCTCATTCCATTTTTGGTTTTTATATTTTAAATCTACATATTAGAAGGATGTAAACGTGCTTGAACTTTACCTTTATAATAAAACATCAATTTTTTTCTAGTGTATTTTCTCCCTTAAGGTATATATTCTGATATTGAAAGAATCACAGTAACTTTGTATAGCATTTGTATATGTATCTACATTACCTCTAACTTTTTATGTTCTTATATTTAAGGTGTGTCCAGTGTATAAAACATATCAATATTTTCATTTGTTCCTTTCTCCTTTAATTGAATTTGTTGGTCTACCCCATTTAATAGTATGATTCATATATTTGAAATTCAATCTATCATCTTTCTATTTGTCTTTCGTTTTGCCTTTCTTGCTTTTTATTATATTTAAAAATTTAATTTTACCACTTATTATATTAGCATTTGATATTTACACTTTGTATTATTGTTGACATTCCTGGTTTAATGACCAAGTTAAGTTCCTGTGACTAGATCATTAGTTCAATAGGCCGCTAAATGAGGAATTGTATATAGTATGTACTTTATAGTATTCAGAAAAAAGAAATGGTCCACAGGAACACCCAACTTGATGAATTTTCTTTTATTTGCATAATTCTTACATGTAATAATATAAAGTATAATAGAATATAAAACTATAGTACTGTACTATACAATCAAAAATTACAGTACTGTATAAACAAGGTGTACTGTACATTGAGAGTCTATAAATAAGTTGTACAGAACTGTACAAAAAATGGGTTGTAAGTCTAAGTGATGGGTCATAACTGAACAGGCATTAAACAGTAGGTCGTTAAATGAGGAATATATGTATTTGGATAGTAAAATTAACTTTTTTGTTTGACTTATTAGAGCCTAGTAAAAGTTACAAATTTTATCACTTCCTGGATAATGCAAAGGCTTTCAAACAATTTATTTTCATTTACTCATTACCGCTTTTTCAAAGATAGTTGTTATGATTATTAATTCTATGCAAAATTTAAACCCTGTAGGAGTTTTTATTGTTTCATTACTATTATTAAATTTAGTCATATATGCTTTCAGTCCCCTTCCATCCTGTAAACATTTGTTTTTTATTAATTTTCCTCTGCCTGACTTACTTATTCTAATATTTCTTTTTCTATTTGTGTTTTCTGGTGAAACATTCTCTCAAATTTTGTCACTTTGGAAATATATTCACTATCCCTTGAATATTGATAGGGTATGGCTACTTTTAGATAAAAATAATTTGTTTGATCCAACATTTAAAGGATATCATTCCATTTTCCTGCACTGTTATCTTAATTGAGCAACATTGGGTATCTTATGTTTGTCTTTTGAAAGTAATAAGGAGTTTACTCTTGTAGATTTTTTTAGGGGGGGATTTGGTTTTCAGCAACTTTACTAAAATGTATAGATGTGTTTTGCTTCCTCTTTTCTTTTAAATTTTGCTTAAAATGCACAAAATATCTTGAACTTGTGGCTTACTATTTTCATTTATTGTTTTTCTTTTCAAGGAGTCTCCCCCAGTATCTGTTTAAATAGTGCTTCATTCTCTTGTACCTGTCTTTCTGAGACTCCAACTACACATACACTAAACTGTGCACAATATCCAATATATCTAATGATTTGTTTTATATCATTTTATCCTTTGGTTTTCAGATTTCAGGACAGATACTTTCAAGTGATCTTTTATTTCACTAACCTACTGTTAAGCCACTTTATTGAGTTCTTAAATTTTTATACTTTGTGCTTCTTGAAATGTCCATTTAGTTGTATTCTTAATTACTTCTACTGTATTTAAAAAATGTTTATCTTTTCATTTATTTTCTTAATACTTAACTATAATATTTTTAAAAAAATACAAGTCCTTCAAGGTTAACTGTGGATATATGTTGTTATTTTCTGATTTTATCCTCTTTGTTTTTCTCTATGTCTCAGGAAGAAAGCTGTATAATGTATGTCAGGCTTCTCTCCAAGATCCTGGTTTCTCAAGGCATGGAAGTGTAAGCAACTGTAGATTTCAGTTATTGCTCCCTATTGCTCTGTGGACAGGCGAAAAGCAGTAAAAAAAGCAGATTTGCCCTTTGCCTCAATGCAATTATCGTTCATCCAAGATCATAGCTTCCCACGTCCTATTATCTCATCTCTTTTTTACTAATCTCAAATAGCAATTTACTGATTTATCTAGTCTTATTCTTTGTTCTAGTTCGAAGTCTAGTCTTATTCAGTACGCTTATATTCAGAAGTAGAACTTTATCAAATTAGTTGTGCTTTTTGTCTCTGCCACTCTACAATGCTGATGAAGCATTTGTTTATGAATCTGGAAGCTGTATTTCATATTTCTCTACTGAACTCTCCTATTGTGGTTTGAATAATCTCATTTCAGAAGACAAATCCTACATTTTTGTTTGGAATTAGTACAGTATGAACAGCAGGTGAGTAACAACCTCTTCTCTGTCTGGTGATGATTACTTGATCCATCCAAAGCAAAATGGATTTCTATAGGAAGTAGAATATTTATTGCCCCTCAAAGTTTTGCCTCTTTCTTCCCCCAGGTCTTTAGCAAAGCAAAAGACTTCCTTACTGACCTTTACTACATATGTAAATTTTATGTTACATAAGCTCACCATATCTTATTAGGTGAATTATGAACTGTAGGTTTTCCTCTAAAATCGCATTAGTTTGTTCATTTGAGATCCTAGCCCCCAGGAAATGAGACATGAATTGGCTTTTATTATGTTTCTCCTGCATTATTAGCTGTTATTGACAAAAACGCATTCTTTCTAAACATTGGTTATGCTTCACATGAATTTAAAAGTTGAACACCTATATATGGGTGACAGTTTACTTGATTTTACTAAATGGGACATCTTTTTAAACCAACGGGTTAATACTTTCACAAAAACACAATAGAAATAATCTTTCTTTCTGAATAGGAAACATTTGTTCCTTTCTAGAACTGGATTTATGTTTTAGAAGTATGAGACATATTAGCCATCACATTTCTACAAATATAGGTCAGTGAAAATTTCCATTGTTATATCTGTAGTTAAGAGAGATCAAATATGAGATGAAGACAAAGTGCTAATCCAGACTTTTGTTGTTCATTTTGTAAATAAAATCCCTTTTGGAAATCTGATTCCAAGCAAAATGTATGCCCTGACTTTAATGCTTTGTTTGTATCCTTTTGATCTAAACAGTAAAGGGCTAGGGCTCAGTGTTGACTGTTTCCTAGCAACAAATTAAACGTTAGTACATTCTCAATACTTTTTTCACTTCAGAAACCTGTTTATTAAGGTCAAGGTTAATTAACACTTCTGATAATAACAGAGACTCCTAGTCACAGTTGAGAGCTATTCCTGTAAATGTCATCAAATCAAGTATAAGATATAGGGGCGATTCATGATCTCACTCACAGCTACTTATCATATGGAGTTGTTGCATATAATCATCATGCATCATGGCAGCTTTTTCTTAGGATTACCCTCTAACCAGCAATTGACAGATACTAATATAACATTTGAGGTAGGGCCAAATGGGTAATTCTTTTAACTTTTTCTAAATATGAGGCATTTCATGTGGTGAGACCAAGCATAATAAATTCTCACTAAAAAAAAATAACAAAGGGAACTATAAAGTGGAATCCCATGGGATTTGTAAGTGAAAACATCTTTTGTTAGGTCAAATACATACTTTTTTTCTAGGGTCTATCTTTGGTCCATTAAGCTCCCAAATTTCAATTCTACTGAGGAACAAAGCACTGAAACAACCTACAATTTTCTGGGGCCCCAAAATACAGTGAAGTCAAACAACTCAACTTTGATAATGGCAAAACATTTTACTGCTCTTCAGTAATGAGTCAAATGAAGTGCTAGAAAAAAAATCCATTGTATATCAATCTACTTTCTGATGAATAATATATGAAAAATATTTTTAAACAATCATTTTTCCATGAATTCAAGCCCAGTCTACTAAATCTGATGTAGTTTCCAAAAGCTGCCATAGATAGCAATAATTTCTGACACCATTAATCACAAATGCAGATTATAGATGTCAAAAATGGTGATTGTAAATAGGAATATAACAATACTAAACTTTAATAATGAGAAAGAGGGAGTAGCACATAATATATACTGTTTTCTTTTCTATAGTAAACCCCAAAAGGAAGTTGAAATTCATGCCTGATTTGAAGAGTTAAAGTAATGTAGAAACTTCCACTGAATTTGAGGAAATGCTTACAAGTATCAATTTTTAGGTATTAGGAAAGGAAAATATGAGATAAATAATTTAATATCCAAAAAGTTCCTAATTTTTTTGGTTATATGTCTCCTACTAACTTTTTTTTCTTTAAACAACATAAGTGGATCAACAATTTTTTTTTAAAAGTGCTAATATCTTATATTAAAAAATTTATTGTTTTCTTCACCAAAATTAATAAGGATCCAATGGTCTCTAACAAGCATAGAACCTAACATACTGCAAATTAAAGTCATTCTTCCCTCCGAATACTAAGGTACTTCTTAATATTTAGATGGCTGGTGTGGCTTGATATTGTTTCAGTGTCTCCCAAAGTTTATCTACTGACAGCTTGGCCTGCAGTGTACTGCTAAGGGGAGAGTTATGGAACATATAAGAGGAGAACCCTCAATTCCAAGGAACTGGGATGAGGGTAGTTTTCCTGGATCCCTTGGCAGTTCTCAGGAAAGAACTGCTGTAAATGGCTGTGCCTGGCCCCACCCAGCTCTCTTACACTCCTGAAGCAAAGTAATTGTATGCAACAATAAATGTTCCCATCACTGTCACCCAGCAGGAGGTGAAAGAGCCAAGGAGGAGTCTGCACAGGAACCTGTGGTATGCTTTCAACCTCCAAAACTCAGAGGTCTATAAACTTTTTCTTTATAAAGTTAGCCTGCTTCAAATATTTCATTATAATAACACAAAGTTAATACAATGGTTAATTATTAAATATAGAACTTTTCAATAAATCTACTATATGGAGTATCTTGTTATTCAAATCAAATGCGTTTGTACACAGAGTAGTTTCAGCAATCCAAAATCATTCTGAGCTAAAAATTATTAGTGGACTACTCCAACTGAGAGGGGGAAATTCCTATGCAAAGAATGTGGTACATGCCTGTAATCCTAGCACTGAGGAGGCTGAAACAGGAAGATTGTCACCAGTTGGAGGACAGCTTGGGCTACATAGTGAGGTCACAGCCAGCCTGAACTACATAGCTAGATCCTGTCTCAAAAAAATGTATAATTAATAGGTTCAAAGGAATAAATCTCCATTCAAAAAATGAAGAATATGTCCCAAATGGGATAGTCACCCTATAACATGAGATTATCCTTTTTTGTGTTCTAATTAGGAAAATATAGGACACTTACAAATATGCATGCACCTTACTGGCTGTTATAACATTCATAGCATTTTAGCTTCAAAAAGTAAGACTTAAAACTTCAAAGAAAATGCATTTAATAGAAAAAAATCCATGTTACCTTTTATTTCATGTTGGCTTGCTTCTCGTCTTCTCTCTAGTTCTTTTCTGTCATAATTCAACCTTTTTAAGCACATGATTCCATACTGTAAACTTGTTCTGTTTTTTTTAAAGAAAAAAAAAAGTTATATACCATATAAAGAAAATTTTTTTAAATGAAGGTAGTCAACACTATCTACTACTCTTTAAGGCTTTAGTTGAATAAATTATAGTTGTAATATAATTCTTCAGTATCAGAAGGAAATACATTTATAATTTTATCAAGGACAAAATGTTTCTAAAAAGTAGGAAACCTATTTGCAATAAGAAAAAGAGTTTTGAAAGTAATTGTCATTCACCAACTTGTATTCTATTCAACTATTTTTGCATAATATTCTGACCAGTATTTTATCCATTTTAAAAAAATTCAAAGCCCTTTTATAGAGGCAGAAAAGAATTTATAGGAAATAGATACTCTTAAGCGGATGAGAATAATAACAAAAAGAGTAAATAATATGATACAGAACCAAATACTACAATGAAAAGCCAACAACTGTGAAACATAAGTACATAAAAAGCAGAAGTCTGCAGATAATGAAAATGTGTAGAAAGGAAATCCTGAAAGAGCAGAAAATTGGTTCTTAAAAGATCAAGTAGCAGGACAGGGTTAATGAGGAAAACGGAGTATCATGAACATAGGATTGCAGAAGGAATTTCAAATGTATGATAATAGTGAGGGTCACTTTCCCAAGTTGAAATCATACCAGGAAGTAAGGAGGAACAAAATTATGTATGGAGAATAGGGGATTATTAATGAAAGTCTTGCGTTTCATGTGTGAAATGCAACCAGGAGTATGAGAATTAGTGGATAGTTTTCAGAGTAGGAAGAAATAACAATAAAAGGTTTTGCTTAGAGGGGAATAATCTTATACAAAAACAGGATATAGAGTACTACATAATTCTCAGAAACAGAAAAGTCAATGAAAATGTCACAGCCATGAGTACAAAAAGAAAATTCTAGAGACCAAAGACACCCAGGGAGAAGAAACAAGAAGATTTGGTGTTATTAAATATAAAGCCTGTTATGAGTGTGATAGGAAAAAAAGAATATTTTTTTTGAAGAATAAAGATCAATTACTTTCATTGATTACTTACGTGTGTAGTAATGTACACAAATTTAGACACACACTGACAGGCTACACTTAAATATTGGATGCATTTCTACACTCTGGACTTTAGTGAGAACAATGGTGAGACAAATATTTCAAAATCGGGGCAAGGGGGAGAGATTTGCATTGGGTAGATGTTGTAGGTCAAACTATGTCTTCTTAAAATTCATACACTGAAGCTCCAAACCCAGGCAACTAAGAATGTAACTGTACATTTTAAGTATACCATATAATGACATTCATCATTGGAAATTTGCACCTTTACATAGTCTCTCTTGGTTTTTCTTTTTCACCCTTGCCCAGCCCTCCCTTCAACCCCTCCATTCCTCCCTATTTACAAAGATTTTGTTCCTATTTTTCCATTTTCTCATATTAATCCCATTCCCTTCTATCCTTTCCCCTAGCCCTCCCACTTCCTTCCCCTTTGCCCCTTTTGATTGAATGATCGATAATGCAAAATAGGAAGAAAAGGTCCAAAGGGGTACGGGTAGTGGGAGGGGTAGGGGAAAGGAAAGAAGGGAAAGGAAAAATGATGAGAAATGGAAAAAAATGGAAATAAAGTCTTTGTAAACAGGGAAGGGTGGAGGGGGTGAAGGGAGGGCTAGGAATGGGGAAAAAATAAGAACCAAGATGCATTAGGTAAAGGTACAATTCCCAATGAGAAATGTGATTGTGTTGTATACCTAAATGTACCAATAAAATAATTTAATAAAAAAAAGAATGTAACTGTATTTAATGAAGTAAATAAATGAGTCAGCCCTGATCTAACATGATTGATGTCCATATAAGAAGAAGGAATTTGGATGAAGACACCAGGAATGCACACTCACAGAAGAAAGAACATATGTGAACACAGACAGAAAGTAGCTGTCAGCAAGCCAAGAAGACTGGTATCAGAAGAAACCAGATTTGGCAGTATCTTCATCTTGAACTTATAGCTGTGGTACATAGAGTATAAAGATATTGGGCTACAACACAGCACTTTAATAAAGTATTGCAAGTCCCTTTTTATACCTGATATACAGTGCAGATTTGAAAAAAAAGGTTGTGTTTTATTCACCTGTGTCCTCACAACATGTGTTTAGCAATACACGAAAATTTTTTTCCTGAAAATTAATATACAAGTAAACAAAAGCACTACAAGACTTATTTAAAAATAAAAAGGCAAAAACATATACTTCACAGAAGAATTCCTTTTAAATGTTTTTTCTAGCATATCCTTAAATTATATAATTTATAACTACATGTATTTATGAGGTTGATACTACAAATACTTTATTGTTCATAAATAATTTTCTAATTCAAATACAGAGATTTATAAAATTACAAACATAATATTTTTAAAGATCCAGCTGAAAAACTAGACCTATGCTCTATGAGAATAATATTGTGCATATATATTCTCATAAACTTTGAGGATATTAATACAGTCTCACATTAAGGAGGGATGTTTGAAATCCTACTTGAAAATAATTTTGAAGTAGATGTATACAGTTGTTTTCGTTAGCACATATTTTCTATCCCCTAAATATCTATAATTATTTTAGTAAAATATGTTAGTTATTGTTTCAATTTAATTATTATTTAGCAAAAACCTACCGATGGAAACTATCCACCATTTTTAAATGAACACGAAGATCTTTCTTTGTTAGGTGATCTAACATTCTTGCATCAACCAAGCATTCCATAAAGTAACTTCTGTATTGAGGTAACCCCAGGCTGGGAAGCCACTCATTTCCAATCCATTCATGGTTCATATCTCCATAAGCCAGGGTCTGTAGAAAAACCGGACACTAGAATTGTTTTATAGCAGTCAAGTTTCTTAACCAATGAAATGAGATGGTAATTGGAGGATATTATGCCTTAGAATAACTGATATTTAACTGATACATAGAAGCCAAGCAAAAATAATATTTAATCTGTAAATATTTTATTTTCATTGGTACAAAATAGAACCTTAAATATATCTATCCAAGTATTTATCTTTAGAACATATTTTATTGCTGTTTTTAAAAAAGGAATTACATTTTGTCCAAATATTATTTTGTTAGGAAAGAAATTAGAATTAGAAGCATACTATGGATTTTGAACTTAAGATTCATCTTGATGGGTGTATTTTATTCATAATTTGTCAGCCAATACTCCACCATTTCCTTCTCTTCAACATCCCTATTGCATTGTTAAAGTGTAATAGTAAATCTTGATGTAAAATAGAAACACCAGTAAACAAACACTGAAAGGACCAATAAGGTTAAACTGACAGAATGCTGAAGCTTTCTATCAACACTGTTTTCTAGGAGAGCATATAGGAACCATTCTATAAAGATCATTGGAAAAAATCAAAGTCTTCTAGATATCAACCAATTTAGTGTATTTTAAAAGTAGGGCATGATAGAAAACTAAGACAGGTAATTTAATTCTACAATGGGAACTGATTTTGTCAAAAGCCGTTCAAAATAGCTAAATTGAAAAACAAATCAACCATTATCACTAAACTTATTTTTGTTAATTTATTTTTCTCAGATCATTTTCTTTATTAGTACCTTACTACAAAGTATATAATGTTCACATTCCTTGTAGCAAATTGGTACATGTACCCAAGACATCTCAATTCCTATTTTCATAGCCTTTCCTCTCCTCCCTTATTATTTTATTACTTTTACAAGATTTCCTGTGTAGTTCCTTATCTTACTATAAAGTATAATTCTCACTATAACAAGTGTATTTATTGAAAATTGAGGTGTTCCTCTTACTTCAAGAATGATGAAATTCATGCCAATATTGAATTTAATGTTATCAAGACTTAGTTATCAAGTTATTAAGTTATCAAGATTTTTCTTACATTCAAATGTTTGAATCACAGTGATAACAAAACACATCCAATTACAGATTCTGAAGACACTGTTCAGCTTCTTGGAAACATACGCATTTATTCAAAGTTAGATGCCTGTCTCCTGTGGCCTTCTTAGCAAGTGCAAGTGGCTTCTGACCTGTGGTCTGTGGCACTGACATTTGTCCCTCCAATCCTCATCCTCATATACTTTACATGACACCTTAATGCACAGGAAACTCCAAATCACTGGTTATTTAAAGACATTTACCCTATATCCAATTTCAATGATTCTTGATTAAATATACTCGAGAATGACTTCAGAGAAATTTGAGTTACAGGTCATTCTTTGGAGGAGAAAAAAATTCTCTTATGATTTGAGGCCAGCTATGCAGTGATAATCATCTTACTTGCAAAATACGCTGTCTAAAAAGACATATGATCTTGAAAATAATACAGACAAATCTACGCATTAGGTAAATATAGGTGAAGAATTCAAATACTATGACTTATAATAGTTTCCTAATTTATATCCTCATAATCTAAATGACAGTTGTCTTAAAGCATATGAATTTCCTACCTGGGCCCAGCTTCCTTCCTCAGATTCTTTCTGTGTTAGCAGCATGAAATGATTAATAAAGCAGGTAAATATAAATTAATTTCAAAAAGTAAAACAAAATGTTTTAGCAGAAGCAAAATTTTACATAAAATATTAATTGTCATGACATAAGTAGATAGATTTACAGGTTCTTATATTCAGGATAATAATTTTCCTAGAGCACAAAAATAGGGCAACAATATAGATTTTAAGTGATTCAAATTTAAATATATGCACATGTGACATGTGAAATTTTCCTGATTTTGTGAACACTTGCTCCAGCCATTCCAAACCTATGTGTAATAATATGAATTTCTGATTATATATATACATGCATATGATAGGGAAATTTTATATAAAGTTAATTAGGTAAAATAGTGACTGTACATTTCTCATAACCAAATAAAGTTCAATAATAGCCAACAAAACAAAACAAAAACAAGTAAAATAAAACTAAATTAAAAATAAAATTAATATGGGACATTTACATTTTTATTTATCATAACTTTCTAGATAATCAATTTTCAATTATTGATGAAATGAAAAAGTCATTAAATTAAGAAACTGCTAAATATAAAATATATGATATGCCCAACCGTGAAAAACAAGTACATATAACATTTTATTTTAAAAAACTGACAATTTCGGGGTTTCCACGAAGTTATTTAAACTGTATTCTAGAATACCAAATGAAAATAACATTTTTTTTCTTGGTCAAGCTCTGTATCTAAGATGGTAAAGCACAGAAATTACACAATGATTCTAAAAATAAATATTTAGTCTAAATTTTTGTATAACAAGTTTAATTTGACTTAGTAACATACTACCTATGAATTTTCCCAATTCTGTGATAGTTATTGTTAAAAATTTCCAATGTAGCAAAATGAATAGAAGAGTTGTATTAAATTACTGATTATTGTTTGTATATTATAATGATGTTTATCACATTATGGCAATCTAGCGCATTTATTTAAAAATCTTAAGCAAGTAAAATAAAACTACAACAAAAATGTTAGTTGTTTTTGCATGAACTGTACAAACACACCCAATTTCTCATTTCTCCAGTCAATAGAAAATTAATTAGCTTTTTCATCCAAATAGCAGCAAAATAACTTTCCTTCAGGTTCAATAAATCTGTGAAGACTAACCGTTTTGGCTGGAGCTGCAAGATTTTCCATTTCTTCATGGGTCACCCAAACGTTGCCTGAAGGCTAGTGAGGAGCCCAGAGAGAAGCAGTGGAGTCCAAGTTGGTAAGCAGGGTAAAGAGAAAGGCAGTGCCTCTGTGAGTCCAACAGCATCAGAGCTCACCACAGGGCCCTTGCTCGACAGCACACATAAGACAGCATGGCGGGTTTGCTCAGCGCCCCCTTCCTCTTCTACTCAAAAGGATCAAATAGGCAGAGACATGCTGTGAAGCTCATGGGAAAAACGCTAGCCTTAAAAGTGTGCTTCTGTAACCATAATCTTTAGGAAAAGGGTATGATCAAAATTTGCAACTCAAAGTTATGTGGCTATTACTTTTGTAATCTGAAGTGGTGATTACAGAACAATAATTTTATTATTTTTCTTTGGCAAATGATGGTACTTTGTTCCATTATTAGCTAGTTTTTGTTCATACAATTTGGATTCATCAATGTCATAGGAAAGAGAAAAATAATTGCCAATACAAAGCCATAAGCATCATCATAACTTGTTGGAAAACCAGGATCAGCTTTTTCCAATCAATTTCTTCCTTTTGCAATTAAGTAAATGTAGTGTTTTTCTGTATTCATATAGATAAAAGAGTGAAATGTGATTTTTTAACTTAATCAAAGGTATATTTCATCCTTACTAAATACTGTCAGATTGTAAAACTCATACATTTTCTTATTCCTCAGCAGTACCCTAACCATTACAGAGAAGAGGATAGTGTAAAAGGGAATTTTCTCTATCTATTATACCATGAAGTCCCACCTGCTTTCTAGATAGACCTATCCTTACGGTTGTTTCTCTATACTGAATAATACACAATTTCTAATTCAAAGACTTTTTAGCAAATATAAATCAGGTATATTACACTGACCACTGGAAACCACTTTCCATTAAATTCTAGGTTTTCACTGGGAAGTCTTCATGAACACTGAAAGGTTGTCCAAATATATTAATGAAATTTACATTATATGTCACTTGTTACTTGTTTTAGAGTTGGAAGCAGCAGAATTGATGCCTAAATATCATAAGTCAGCACTGTAATTCACACAGGACTTCTCTACCATCTACATAGTATCATGTTTCACTGTCTTTGTACTATAAATATAATAATCCAATATAATTTTTAAAATGTATATAAACTAAGTTGATGAATATAGTCTTATGGAAGTGAGCTTTCATATAAATGACACATATACATCATATATACACATATATAATATACACATATAAATATATTTATGACACACACAAATATGTGTGTGTAGGGGGCAAAGAGAAATGGTTAGTAAAGATTTAAATTATAAGTAAATCATCCAAAATTTTCCTTTTAAAATAAATCTGCATTCACCTATAAGATATACTTAGAGTATAAGAGCCATCCATTCCATTAAAAAACTCTTCCATTCCACTTTCAGATTTTGGGAATGAGGTTCATTACAGACAGAAAGTTCCATATGAACATATGGAATTGCTTTTATTTAGCACCATATTAAAAAGTACTTTACAGTCATCCATCACATTCTGTTATCACAATGCTTTGTCAGAGTGGCCATCTTTTTGTTCAAAGTGAGTTTCAGTGATACCTATTTGAGAAAATATTAATTAAAACTGATCTTCTTTTAGACTAATTTCTGTAATTTCTACTATGATTCTGAATCTGAATTATGAAGATCTTATTTCCTTCATAAGAAACTTGACCAGTTATCTCATAGTAAAATAGAAACATCTATAATCTCTTACACAGACTTATAATCTATAATTTATATGTCTGTGTTTGCCACATCTATCTCAGGATTCTGAGATGGGTAAGAGGCTGGATGCTATAACTTTATGATTTTCTTGCAAAATGAGTGTATATCCAGAGTAATTTGCTAAAGTATGCTTGGCACACTTGCAGAAGTTGTTGACTTTCCTGTATACTTTTACTTGTGAGAAGCCTTGCCTGTGCTATGATCATGCAAATTAACCCATCAAATAGCTTCTGTGCAACCCGAAAAAGTAGATATTAGTTGAGGTTTAACAAGCATACTTTATGAGCAAGCCCACATGTAGTAATTGAATCATTAAATCTCATTCCTTTCTTTCCATTAACAATTTAGAACTTTTATCTGGTTATGTCATGAAGGAGTGATTTAGAGCATGAAAAAAGACTATCCCTAATAGTGTACTATAGCTAACATGTACTAATAAAATTAAATAATAAAATAGAGAACATAAGGACAGTGGTGCTTTGGGACCAAAGATGAATGAAACATAAAAATGTAGGTTGAAAAAGCATAAAGGACAAACATCATCAAATTTAGCTTAGTCTTTGGAGAGCCCCATAACATCTACTCACTGGCCTTGGCACTCTGCTGCAGCCCCTTATGTGGACAGCACAAGTGTGGCTAATATCTGAGTCTAACAGATGATTTATAATATGCAAGTATAATTACCAAATTATCACCAAGATGCTTGAACTTTAGCAGTACCACTTTTCACTGGCTAGTATGACATTTCTTAACTTTTCTAAATTTCAGAGTCTATATCTTAGAACTAAAAGTTCCTATGTAATACTAGAAAAAAATACTGAGAATTTTAAAGTCTTAGTATGTTTGAACACAGAACTGGGACTAGAATGAGAAGCAAGTGAAATCCCATGAAGATCAATTTAAGGAAACACTCACTCTCTCAGTCGTGCAGATGCAAGCTTGGCCCCAACAATGAGAACCCCCTTAAGTTTTTTGCCTGAGGTGTGTTTCTTGCCACCTCCTGGTCAGGATGGAGTGAAATATTAGGAAGTATTGTCAAATGAGAACTTACAGGAAATGATAAATGATGTTAAGAATTCATGTACTCACCTAATTACCCTGGTACCTCAGTTCAAGAATGCAATTCTTTATAGGACTCTGGTCACAAACCGAATTGGATGAGAACCAAATCAAATTTCCCCATTAGGTCAACATTGAGCCTAACCATTGAATCTGATTTGGTTCTTTTCCAATTCAGTTTGTGACCAGAATCATGGAAAGAATTAAGTTTGTCAACCGAGTCACCACTGTAAATCATACTGAAGGAGTTATGACAGAAAAATAATTATTAAAATAAACTTAAAAAAATAACCCATGAAAATTAATCAGGAGAAAATAATTAGTTCTTTTATTGCCAGACATACAGGACAAGTAAATGAACCAAGCCTCAATCTATTCATAAATCTTAAAGTAGCCTTTGTTATTACCTAGGTCATTTTGAAGTATTATTTACTTTATAGTTGAATTACAAAGTAAAGTAACTTAAATTTACTTTTCACATTCAAAAGACCTAGATTCACATTTCTCTGCAACTGGACTTTTATTTCTCATTATAACAGGTATTATTCTCATTACAGTAAGATTGATTTTTATCTAATTATATTTCACTTTATTTTTATTAAAGGTTGAGGAAAGGATGAAAAAAAAAAACAGACCCAACTGAAGAAATGCTGCAAAAACTGATGCAGCACGGGAATCAGCAGGAGTTACTTGTAAGGAGCATAAAGTCTGGGCACAGCACATGCAAATGTGACCTTAGAGGAATCATGTAATTTCTCTACATCTGGCTTACCCATCTGAACAACAGAGAGTAGAAGTTTTTAATCTCATAGTGAGGACATGAAGTTGACATGAGTTGTGATATTTAACACATGTAGAATGGTTGATGACAACACTTTTGATGTTGGCTATTGTTATAATTCAGGTAGAAATTTTGTTAAGCAACCTCTACTAAAACAAATCTTCAGTTCAACAAACACTCTTTATTTCCCTTATACACTGTGGTGACTCAGGCCTGTCTTACACCTTCCTTTTCTGCACAAACTTGTTGGATTGCATAGTTGCCAGAGATCACTTGTATTTGTTCTCAAACCTAAATATTTGCACTATATTTGCTTTTTCTTGTGATTAGGTTACTTTAAATTAATTATAAAAAATAAAAAAGAAAGAAATGTTGATCATTTATGAAGACTAAGATGAATTATTTGAAAAGACCAGACAAAGCAAATCTTAAAACATAATATCAATGCCCAACGGCATTCTCAAAGTATGGGGAAAAAATTGCAAAACCTCCCAAAAATTCTGCATTCTAGTAGCCATTTGAGTTATACTGAAGTCATCTAAAAGAAAAATAGAGAAAGTGAATATGCTTAGTGAAAATGTACTTTAAAAAGTCCTAGATGCCTCATTTAAATTTAAAAATACCTTGATGTTCACATATTTTTACTTAAAGTATTTAAAGACTGTACTTATTCTTTCAACATCCCTCTTGAAGCAAACTTTAATGAACTAATACTGTCATCCCTATCAATTAGGTAAGAAATCTTCCACTGTAGCAGTAGCATGGAAACAAGAAATAAGAAAGCTAGAAGCTTAGGGCTGGCCTGAGGAAATATTAAATGTGACTCTTAGATTTTCCTCTTGAGTTGCAGTGCATTCCACTAGACAAGAAAGGAGGCAGAATCAGACTGAAGTTCTAGTGAGTTAAGACTGAGAAGTTAGCAAAAAAGCACACCTTATTACCCTGTCTTTCACTTTTGAGGACTTGTGCATAAACAAGGGGCATCTGGCTAAGAAGCTCAAACTCAGATTTAAACATAGGGACAGACAACAATAACAAAAATACTTGTCTTATCTCAACAGCAGTATTCTGAGAGATAGAATAACATTTCTTTTTAAAAAATTACATTTATTTTAAGTGCAAATCCTAACGTAGTGGATGTATGTGTGTGTGTGTGTGTGTGTGTGTGTGTATGTGTATGATATTGAGGACTGAACTCAGAACATTCACATTGAGCTTCATCCCCAGCTATTCTTCTTTGTTTGTTTATTTGTTTTATTTTGTTTTGTTTTTGAGATAGGGTCTGACTAAGTCACTAAATTCCCCAGGGTGGACTCAAACTTAAAATCCTCTTACCTCAGCTTGCCAGAGTGCTGGAATTACAGGCATATGCTACCACACTCAGCTCTAATATATAATTTTACAGGCTATCACTAAGATGTGTCAGTCTTCACTTTATGTATTAGCTTTTTGACTAGAATTTTAAGTGGAATTTTTGTTTTGCAAAACAAATCATATTTCAAACATATTAGAAATGAGTAAATGTTTCTAGGTAGATGGAATAAAAAGAAACAGCAACATTTAGTAGACCAATTTTAAAGCAAGAGATACAACTTATTTTATGTATTTTGAATCAGTAAATGGAGAAAGGTATATATCCTTCTGAATGAAGAGTATATATTAATAAAAAACAAATATTCCTGCAATTCTATTGAGAAATTGAAATTTTTATAAAGTGATAATTTATATAAGTAATGGATCAGCAAAAATAGTTTAAAATTTCAACTTTACTAATAATTTTGAAAACATAAACTTAAGAATGACATAACCAATACTGGCTGATACGAAGAGGTAATATTGTATTAGAATACAATTTGATAATTAAAATTTAAAAATATTAAGAATATAAATGTCTTGTATATAAATTTTGGTATGGAAATAACTACAGCTTATACAATAATATAAGTACTTGAGCATTATTTTATCCAAAATGAAAATATAAAATAAGCAAGATGTCTAATAGTAGAGATTTAGTTGTATAAATTGTGGCATTTCAAAAAATATAAAGAAATAAAAAATATATAGTATTTCAATATTTAATGTAATTAGGAATATACACAAAATACTATATTACTGAAATAATATATGTTTATACAATGATAAAGACTGGAAAAGTCTCTATAAAATTGCTATGAATTTAAAAAGTTATATAATATTTATAATTATTATTTTTATCACTTAAAAATATTTGTTAGGCTGTTTATATTTTTCTTTATTTTAAAAATATTATATAATATTAATTCTGAAAACAAATACAAAGCTTAATTCTAGATATAAAATATATTTGTCCCTTCAATAATTCTTTTTTGAAGCTTTACCCAACTAGAAGTGATTTCCCCTTCTTTGGAACTCCAGAGTACTTTGCTTCTACTTTTCATAGAAGAGCTTAAAGTATATCTTACTCAACCCACTGGTCAATATATGTTCCTTGCCATAATTTCTCTTTCTGAACTCAGAGACACATGCATTTCATATTCTTTGTAACAGTGGGAAGAGGGCCTTGTGTCATCATTCCAAAAGGAGTTTACAAAGTAACTCCACTGTGCTTGGCAATCAATTAAGACCTAGGGTTTATGGAAACTTGACCCTATTCTTCCCTGGTCCAAAAGGAATATAACAAAAAAGAGTATTTTTAAAGTGTTTGTATAAGTACACAGAGTGCTACCTCAGGAAAGGAATGAAATTCAGACTTTGGAGGATTAGCCAAAACTTTTCAAAGGCTTTATGTAAAGGGATCAATAAACAATGGATACATTGGACAGGTCATGTGACCATGAAGTAGGAAGAACATTCCAGGTAGAACAACTGTAGAAAGATGAATTGCAAAAGCTCATAATTGGCATTTAGTTCTGTATTGTTGGTATCAGTATCTGAGGGTGAAAAGCCTTCAAGATGGGCCACAACTAGATCACAAACTTTCACATGCTTTTTCCATTTCTGCCTGTTCCTTAAACCCTTTCCTTTAAGATTCTGTAATTTAAATCACTTCAGTTTAAACATCTTTAGAGAAATAATGCTTAATTTATCCAGTTCCATCAGAAAATGGTCTATGCTACCAAATCAAAAACATAATTTTTTATCTGGAAATTGGGAATTTGCATACTCTTGTTTTGGCAAGATTCAAAAGTTTTAAATTTTTTTCTTGTGTTTGATCTTGGGAGGAGGATGCTGACATAAACCAGTTGTGGTGTTGCCTTAACTAGAAATTTGTCAGGAAACTTGTCAGATCTGAGTTTGGTTTATAATATCTATTTTAAAAACCCATTCAATTGTCATGATAATTGTATTCTCTTTTAACTTGAATAATACAGTAATAAAGAATATTTTCATTTAAAAAATCTTATAGGTAAGAGATATTAAATTACATATACTTTCCTATGTTTTATTTAGGAAAAGCCTACAATGGACTTATAGAAGAAAAATATTTTTTAATATTTGACCATGTATTTCTGACATTAGAATCTACTATTTGGGGAAGGAAATCAAGTGCTTATACTATAGAAATCAAACAAATTCTTTAAAATTGTTTAAGACCATATATAAAAAAGTTATACTCAAGTGAGTTTTGTATCTAAAATCTGCAATAAAGTAATACCACTTTTTATATTGCCAAATGTATCACATTATCCTATATTTTATTATGTTGTATAAGACAACGGTTAGTTTGGCAATGGGATTAAAAAAAGAATAAAATTTCATTAGGGAGGTTTACTTAGTGTTTGAATTTGTCACCATGTAAGCCTTTTTCACAATATTCTTGTTTCTAATATTAGGTTAGGGACAAAATTATAAAAGGACTAGGAGTTATAAATTAGAAGTGAACAGTTTTTGAAGGAAGGCATTTCACTTGGCATTTTAAAAAGATCAAGCCTTGTATCATTTAATAATTATGAAAGTAGCTTAAAAAATAATGAGTTAAGTACTGGTATTGTCAGAGCATACTAATGTTTATATCTTATCTCCCGGAAGAACTTAATTACATCAAAAAGAAGGGAAGGAAAGAAAATCTTGAAATAAAGTCAGCTTTGGATCTTTTAGCTTGAGGAAAAATTATATAAACTAAATGCTAGCTCAAAGGTCTATCTTGATTTTAGACTTGGAGTCTGATATGAATAACAACCCCTCAATTGAAAACCTATTCAAAGTAGCGGCAAAGTTGATGAAGAGTGAGCTAAATCTCTTTAGAATAATTCATATTGACACTGAGATGTGTGCTGTCAGATCTTGCTCTGTGGACTTAGATACACTGCATTTGCCCAGCATGGAGGAAATGAGGAGCACAAACGGACTCACAGTTCGAGATGTTGGAGGAGCTGAAGGGCTTGTGAGGGAAACCATCTCCTGGATGGCTAATCGGAGTTTTAAGCGATGCAGAGGATTGCTGATGCCTATTTCTCTCTGGATCTCAGTGTCTGATAGAGCAGACATGATGGCACCACTTTTCACATTGGCTCTGCAAGCTGCCACATACCAGGCAGGCATTCCCAACCAGAGCTGTTGCATAAGAAAAAAATACAGACAGAGATGATAATAATGGTAGTAATAATAACTGATATTTTAATCCCTTTTATGTCCTAGGGATTATTCTATGTACCTTACATATATGAAGTCATTTTATGCTGGTAATCCCATAAAATAAATACTGTCATTATTTTCCCTAGAGGAGGTAGATGCATAGAAACATTAAGTAATGTACTCAAAAACATCAAGTAGTAGTAGAATCAATATTTAAAACTGAGTTAGTCTGGTTTTAATATTGAATTTTAACAACCAACACATATTTTACTAGGAATAAACATAATAGTTACAGATCTCCAAATTCCCCTCTGTATTTAAAAAAGGAACAGCTGTACATTGCTTTGATAAGGGTATCTTTAATAAGTGACTTGAGTTTGCCCTGTAACTAACATAGAAAAGAGAGAGGAGATTCAAGTTTAATGACTGCATACTTTATGGACTTTTTCTGCATATGAAGGTTGATCTTTCATTGAGAGGTACATTAGAGAGGAAAGAAGATGGACTTATTTCTTAGTTTATAAGCCCAAACTGTTCAAAATAACTAAACATCTAAACATACCTCTACTGGACTGTAATGCTTTTCTACCCATCTTCTAAAGTATTTGGATTTCCACAATGGTTAGCATTACCCAAATGCTTGCCTATGCATTGTTAGCACTGTCATCCATGATGAGATCTTAACAGTTTTTGTGTGGATAAATGGTGTGTGAAGCATCAGCTTTCCTCCTACACAGCATTCTTTACAGATTGTGCACTTGAGGAGTCCTAACAGAGCTGAAAGTTAAGAGCTCTCATTCATTGGATCACTGGGCTCATTCATCTTGTTTATTCCATTTTATAATTTGAGTCACATTAGGAATCACATTAAGAGCAATTTCTTTGTGCCCCGGATAGGTTTAATTAGCAGCAACTTGACTACCCATCATTTCCTAGCACCTCAATGTTGGTAAATCTGTATTTTTTTAACTGAAGGATTTGTTCATCACTTGCTAAAATAGCTAACTCTCTGTCAAACCGCAGCTCAGTTTATAGAACTGAAATCTGAACAAAACTCCCACTATTCTTGAGGTGTGATTTCTTGAGCATTTTGCCTTGCAATTGATTTTTTTAAATTTAGTAATTTTAAAGCCATGTTTGGAAGAAGCAGTTCTGATTGTTAATATGCTAACATTTTTCCTAACAGATATGCAAAAATAAAATAAAAGACAGAGTGATCTCTGTCAGTCCAAGAAAAAAATCCAAAGCATGTTTTTAGATCTTCCTTTGTAAGTCTATTTTTAAAACCAAACTGACCTATAATTTTTCTTCATTGTTTACTTAGTTAGCTCTAGATACAATAAGATAATGAAAGTAGGTGACTTTCAACCCCAAACCTTTCAAAAATAGTGTGTGCTATTGACTCTATCTTGGAAGAAAAGCTTAGATTCTTTTTCCCCTGACACTGGCATATTATAGCAGCTGCCAGCAGCCCACATTAAAGAACTAAAGGCAAAGATAGTGGACACTACTGAAAAGAAACATGAACCGGCCCCCTGTGATCAAATATTTATTTCCCTGTCAATGTCCATTTCCACCACCCTTCACCCTGTTAAAATATTGCTTTACTTTTTCAGAACACTGCACAGTGCAGGAAAAGCTGATCTCTTGTTTCAATAACTTGTACTAAACTAAATTTATTAATCATTTAAATGAATTAGGATGAATTAAACTATATGCTTATTGTTTGTACATAAAAAAGGCATATATTGTCTATTTCATCTTAGTTGTCTAAACCTTGTTGGTCCTGGACTTTTGAGAATTATGTTCAGGAATTAAATGATAAGGAAAGAAACAGCTCTGTATATGATTAGGTTGCCTTGTTTGATAACATAAACAGTAAGTATTGAGGTAGCTTTTCTCTGAAACCTTCCAATGAAAACTAGTGGAAAAGAACAGATGTTTTCTTCAAACAGCATCATGTTCAGGTACAAACACCCAATGATAACTGTAAATGTATTGTATACGTAAACTGTACCAATTAATATATAAATTTTTAAAAAAGGAAATTAAAAAAGGTGGCTCAATAATTATTTCTTCTTCTACTCTAGACACACAGAGGAAGAATTTAGATACATTTTTTTCTTCCACTGCATGCTTTTGCCACAATCACACACACACATACACACTCACACACACACACAGCCAATGTAAAATCAGAATGCTTACATATCCCTAGATAAAGTAAATATTTTCTTTTGAGCAATTCTAGGATACTGGGAAATTGTGATTTCAAAAAATTGTTTTTACCTGTCTCTAAAAACTAAAAAATGAGTAAATTAGTGATTGATGTGAGATACATCTGGTTTGATTTTTTTTACCTCTAGCCAAGCCACCACAGTGGGTCCATCCCACTGGGCAAAAGGCAATCCTTTCCTCCGAGCTTCTTCAAGAAGTTCATGCCTGAGGTATAGAGCAAAGATTATTCTTCAGGTCGCATGGAATAGATGACTGTGGTTATTATTAATGGCAATATTTTAAAACAACCAATAATCCTTTCAAAATGTTATGAGATAATGCAGAAAAACAAAATTCTCTTCTATTTTCAGTAATACATACAAATCACCTATTGATTTTATTAAAAATGAAACACTGATATATAAAACAATTCCCCAACATTTACTCACTAAACTGAAACATCAAGTGCTTATGGGCTAAGAAGCTGAGTTATAGTATCAGCCAATAGCTCTTTGGTTCACATATTCATATTCAAGCATACATTTTGTGGTCTAAATCTCACATATTCTATATGCCCTTCTCTCTCTCTATTACAATCTCAATGATAGAAAAACTGTTCAGAGAGACGGGATAAATTTGGTCATGTTAGCAATATTCATGGCATGCTTGATTTTAGTAATGGTCTCTGGGCCCAGGAGTCTGTCTTAGGAGTTAGTTCTTTCTCTGGATTATAGAACTACATCTCATAGTTTTTGAAGATTTGAACAATCCAATTAATAAACTGGATCTTTTGGTTATATAAAGACATCTGCCCCAACATTTAAGCAATGATCATCATGTATCATTTATAAAAAAAACTGAATATATAATAGGCCACAAAATAATTATCAATAAATCATTAAAAAGGCAAAGAAAAAGATAACCAGGTGTATTAAGACTTGTGACATAGGAGAGAATGCACTTTCTTAAATCAAAAACTAAATACAATAAAACACAAGCATTCTGCAGCTGTGGCCTCTAGTTTGAACCCCCTTAAGCAAATGCTCTGTGCTGAAATCATCTAATCCCAAGCAGACACTACTGTTTTGCTACCCAGCCTGATCACTTGACTCCTCATAGACAGCCAAAAGCCTCATCTCACTTGAAGAGAACTCCACCACAAACTTATTTACACCACCAGAAAGCAATGTAAAGCGTGGAATTCTAGGTACACATATTTTTAACCAGCACTGGGTACAATACTTGCACACAAAATGATAAAAAGATAATATTTCACTTTTGAATCTGTATCTTTTATAGTTAGGAATATATCATTAATATCACATAGAAACTTCAAATAAAGCATTTGATTATTTCCCACTATCAATCAGTTAGTTAATACAGTAGACTATATTTGTACCCCCAAATTTATAATTAAAAATGCTTTTCAAAACAAGGATTTCCTATGTTTGCAATAGATATTACCAATAAAAATTCATGAATTACAGCAAGAAGCTGTAAAATAATGAAGTTATAGTTGCTGAGGAGAAACATAAATTGCTATTTTAGTTTAATAGAAAGCGTTGGTGAATTCTGTGCATAAGCTCCTCAGGACCTGAGAGATGGCACAGAGACAGTGTTGCCAGAATCTGAAGTGAAAAGTAAAGGTGTTTCTTCATCTAACTTGCCCTACCATCATCCATTCCCTTGGCCTTCCCAGGGAAACCCCATCATTGCATCAGTTCTGAATAATGTAGTCTCACTATGACACATATATTTATAGAAAAGGATTGAAGGATCAAAATAAACAGCCATTAGTTGCTTAATGAGCACCTGTTGTGAGAGGAGACTTGTGTTTGGTGTGGAAAATAGAGACAGAACCAAATATCCAGGAGATTCCTTGTGAAACAAACAAAACAAATACACAAAAGTGCCACAAATTATACAATACACAAATAACTGCCTAAAATTAGGAATGCACATTTTTTCTATGAGGATTTAAGTTATTATTATATTGGTTAATAAGAATGGAAACAATGATGTATTGTAGCAACTGACTTGGTTTTGAAGGGCAAATAGAAAATACTTGGGGATGGCTCTGAAGTGGGAGAAGTATTAATGGGGAGGTACAGATAAATAATTAAACATGAAGTATGTGCAGGAAATACAGAATGGTCCTTCATAGAACCTGAGCATGTTGTTAGGTTGTAATGCTATATCAAAAGGGAAGGGTACATGTTTAGTTATGCAGGAAAAGAAACAAACACATTTACAATTTTTTGTACTAAAAACCCAAATACATATGCACTGATAACAAAGGAGCACATAAAATATTCACAAGTGAACTCTATGAGTCATACAAAAGCCATTTTAAATGTTAGAACATTTTAATTTGAAACTTTTGACTTGAGTCCCAATAAAAATTGTACGAGAAAAATCAGAGTGATCCTGTTAAAACGTATGTCTGATAATGTAAATTCTCTGCCTAGAACTCTCACTCCCTGTCTCACTAAGAATAAAAGGCAAAGCAGCTATTAGGATCCACTCTACCCTCATTTCTCTGACTCAATTTCCACCTTACGCAGAAACACTAACTTCCTTGTAATTCTCTGGAAGCAGTGCAGGTCTCTTTTGGTTTGGCCCATTTGCTGTTTATTCTCTTTGAAAAGTCTCCACATGGCTCACCTCCTCACCTACTTGAAATCTTTACTCAGATGTTACTTTCTCTCTGTGTCCTTCCCTATCTCCTGCAACTCTACCAGGCCCTTCTTATTCCTCTACTTTGCTTTTCTTTATATAAACATAAAATGTTATTAATTTTTTAGTCTGTATTCTGCCAACAGGATATAAGCTTAGGAATGAACAATGTTCTCAAATTTTCTCTTCAGAGATGAACGTGAACTTGAGAACAAAGTCAGGCACAGAAGAGGTACTCAGAAAATAGTTGTGAATGTCGGCCGATGTGCCAACCAGTCTTTATATTTTGATGCTTCTTGTTTTAGTAAATTGTTTTCCATAATGTTTTATTTTTATTAGTATGAATTTTTCAGAGTTCAAATACTTTTTGTTATTTTATTACAATCATGGTCAAATTTTTATAGTTGTATTTCCTGTAACAAAACTTTTTCTTGTATATGATCTCCCTTTGTTATTTTTAACTTAGAATAGCACTGATTATAGGGTATTTCAAAACCCTGGTCTGGTTCAGGATCACTGATGAGATCTGTTTAAGAGGTAACCCAATGTGTTTAGTTCCATTCTCTTTATAAAAAGGAGTTTTAATCAAGTGATTGCTTTGGAAATGATTGAATAATCTGACCTCAAAAAAACTTTGTTTAAATCATAACTCCCATAAAATAATATCCCTAGTAATAGAATTCAAAGAAATCAGAGAAAGGACCCAAGTCCAGTGGATTCTGCTGTTTGGGTCCCCACATCTAGGGCTGAATCTCAAGTAAGGCTTTTATGTGACACAAATGAGACAGTGGAAAGCTAGCCAGACTGGAAGAGGGTGGCTGGGTTTTACACCAGGACTGAGTGCTACATGAGACTAAGTCCATATCTGTATTGTCTTAACATAAGGAAAATACCAACTTTGTAAAGAAGAGATTGGGGTGTGTTACCCTTGAGAGAAGGAATTTTAGAAAAGTAAAGCAGTTTTTGACAATGTTGTAAATCACCAGTCAGAAATCACTGGGCGTATTATGTGATGATCAGATTATTAATGGTAGGTAGCATTAATTTTATGGCTCATGCTTGTTTTCATCAGAAATTTTGAGTTTTACTGGCATAAAAATGTGCCTAAACTCTTTAGGAATTACTAAATAGAATACTGATTTGCCACACACAATTTTGGATACACTGGTGCTATCTGTTTGACTAGTCCATGTGTGGAAAGGTGTATTTGGTCTGGGATACATTCGCTTTTAGCTGGCATTCAACTTTTTAAAGTTGAAGAGATAGTTCTTTCAAAATGAGGCATGATCACTTTCTCCAGAAGAAAGTTGATTTTGAAAACAATGATATTTCTATTCAGGACTGAAGAGAGTGATTTTTCTTTTTTAAAAAGATAATCTAATATTCAACCTTCTTTTCCAAAAAAGATCATTTATGTCTCACTGTTGTCATGGGTATGAATCTTAATTTTTAAGGTTTAGACTATATTTTCAAAGACATCAGTAGCACTTCCTTTGAGAGGAAGTGGCAGGCACAGAGTTGTCATTACTGGTGTGAAAACTCAAAAAAGAAATAGACTAATTGTCAAGGGATGTCATTTCAAATACAAAAATCTCCTGAATAATTACATGTTTTCAAGAAACACATTTTTATCTGCAATAAAGAATGTTAACATCCTCCAAAGGCCTCCAAAGGCCTTACTGTGAGTGGAAAATGCCATGTTAGGAAGACCCAACATGAGTGAGCGCTCTGGTCTGTGAATGATTTGCATTGCCTATACATGAAGATGCAGAGAGAAGCCTGTGCTTGTTATGCTTTCCCTGAGGTTGGGAATAAAGAGTGGGCACCATAGAAATGACTAGACTCAAAGATTTCTAGTTAAAGGATCAAGATTATCTAGTAAATGTCAATTTAATAAACCTAGAGCACTTGTCATTCTTGTGAGGTCTAACCCCCAATTCATATTGAGCAGGTAAGAATTCGCTTAAATGACTAAGTCCAAATGGAGATGCCTATTTTATTTTTGTTTTGTTTTGTTTTTTGTCTCCAGCTTTTGTGGTTGTGACCTAAGTACCATAATTGGAGGAGAGTAAGAAGTTCTAGCCTCCTTTCTTACATTACAAGCTGTTTCAACCATTCCTAAACACTGAGCAAAGTCTGTTAAAGTCAGCCTCCCTTAATCTTCCCTTCCTTCCCTCCCTCCCTCCCTCCCTCCCTCCTTCCTTCCTTCCTTCCCATTCTCCTCTCTCTGTCTCTCTCTTTCTGTTTCTCTCTCTCTCTCTCTCTCTCTCTCTCTCTCTCTCTCTCTCTCTCTCTCTCTCTCCCCCTTCTTTTTCTCTTGGCACTGGAAATCTAAGCCAAAGCTATGCACATGCTAGAAAAGTGCTCTGCCATTGAGCTCAACTTCCAACCCCAATCTTTTTTCTTTCTAAACTTTCATGTCTCAGCCCCTGAGGGAATATATATTATTTTCTTTTACAGTTCTTACAGTACTATGCAACCCTTCCTACTGTATCTTTAACACTGTATTGAATTTGGTGGTTTATAAGTTATTCTCCCTACCTCAATGG